AGCAGTATATCCCTTTTTCCATGTGTGGGTCTCCAAGGCTGCAGATGTTTAAGAGAGCGGAAGCCTCCTTTTTCTCCACGAGAGAGGCTGGTGGGTTTGAACTACCAACCTATTACACTACCCAGGCTCCTTTCTTCCCGTTATTGTTGTTAGGTGCTGTGGCTGTTACATAATCTACTGTCAACTTGAGGAAGGGGTGGAGTCTATCCTTTCAATCAGGCCGCAGCTTGATGACCTCATTGGGAGGCACAATGGAGATAAATAGCTCACTGGAGGGCAGACCCACACTCTCTGCTTCGTCTTCTGACTGACAAGCCGCACAGAACTAATCTGATGGAGTCAGAGCCCGGAGCTGGAGGAGCCACGTGGAGATCCATGCCAGCGCTGAGATGTTTCCACCGCCCCTGGATCCACAAGACTTTCCACCTACTGGCCTGTGATCTTCCTGCATTCAGCATCATTGCATGGCTGAATAAGTCTAAAGAGGAATTTATGAACTAGTATCAAAATATGGGGTAATATCAGATTTGATCTGGATTGGGCTGGGGTGTTTTCTTTTTCTTAAATCATTTTATTACGAGCTCTTACAGCTCTATTACAATCCATACATCCATCCATTGTGTCAAGCATATTTGTACATATGTTGCCATCATCCTTTTCAAAACATTTGCTTTCTACTTGAGCCCTTGGTATCAGCTCCTCATTTTTCCCTTCCCTACCCCTCCTTCCCTCCTTCCCTCCCTCCCTCATGAACCCTTGATAATTTATAAATTATTATTTTTTAATGCCTTACATTAATCACTGGCTCCCTTCACCCACTTTTCTGTTGTTTGTCCCCCCGGGAGGGGGGGGACGTTATATATGTCAATCATTATGATGGGTCTCCCCTCCTCCCCCCACCTTCCCCCTACCCACCTGGTATCGCTACTCTCATTATTGGTCCTGAGGGGTGCTTAATCCATGTGCCAAGCCCAGAGAGGAGGTGACAGGCCCCTCCCAGGGGAGAGAGAAGTGGAGAGTTCCGGAGATTTGGGCCCAAACTCAAGCACATCCCAGTCACTAATCACAGTCTCCCTCCTGGAAATCCTCAATGGAAACAGAAAGGTTTTCCCGAGACCCAGGGAGCAGAGGACAGAGGAACCCCCTGAGTGTTGCCAAGAGTCAGGTGCCACCCAAGCCAGTCACCATTAACTTGGCCAGCTCCAAGTCTGTGGTGATGCCCCAGGAGGGGACACGGGAAATCTGGGCGGGGAGGAGGCATGGTCAGCAGGGGTTCTGGAGCCTCTCACCTGGCTCAGCTCCCATCCTGTCACCTGGGTACCCAACATCCTCTGTCGAATAATATTCAGGGCCCCAGAATGGCTTCATTCTGGCTGATGCTCCAGAGTCCCTCCAGTTTAGACCCTACCTAGTCACACTTGCAGCTCCCTGAGGTAGCTTCGGGGCATGCTCTGCCCTCCTCTGCTTGGAGTCTCTCCACTCCACCCCCCAGTGCCATCGGCTCCTATTCAACCCTTAAAACCCCATGCAACAATCCCATCACTCCTCAAGGCTCTCTGACCTTTCCTTCCAAAGGCCTGGGAAACTCCTCTAAGTTGGGCCTCTTCCTTCCACCTCAAATACATTGCTGGACAGAGGCACTGTCCCATCCTTCCCTCTGGAGCCAACTTGCCTGGGTGCTGACCCTGGCCTTTCTAACTGTCTCACCTTATTTGCAAGGCACAGAGCAAGATATTTGCCCCGTGCATATCTCAGCACCCAGGGTTTACTGGTTTAAATATGTAACGATGTTACAACATTCTCTAGCATGTGGTAAGTACTCCATAAACGTCAGCCATTACCATGCTCGTTGTTTTAAAAAAAATCTGACAGCTACAGGAAATAGAAGCCTGTCAGGTGATGTTCTTGGTAAGAATGAGAGTCGCTACATCAAAGTCTGGAGCAAGCCTGTGAGGGTCCAGGATAGCTGACTTCACACTGTGAAAAAGGCAGGACTGCCCCTGAGCGGCACCAATTCAGTTATGGTGACCAGTGGCCTTAGTGGACAGCACTCTGACTGCTGTGTCACTCTGACTCATGGCCAGCCCAAGCGGTACAGAGCAGCATTGCTCCCTCGTGTGTCCTTGGCTGTTGTCTTTACAGAAGCCAGGTCTCAATTGTCCAGCCATCTGGCTGGGTTCCAACTGCCAGCCTGACATTAGAAGTCAAGCACAACCCTGTTGTGCCACCCCCGGACCTGGGTACAGCACAAGTTCCCAGCGCGAGACCCTTTCTGCCAGTGCCCCATCCTCGTTGCTCACTGACCAACGTTGTTTTCAAAAGACGAGCCTTTGAGAAGCAGAGAGAGATGCTGACTTCACCTTGCACACCAAGACCCAGAGGAGCACCCCACTTGGAAAGGTCCACATCCATCCCTAAGTGCCCCGCCCATTGCCCTCTCCTCCATGCCATGCTCACAGCCCCCCTCCTCGTCCAGCAGCTTATTTGAGCCTCTCCACTTGGAGGGCTTGCTCTGAACCCAAGCTGCAGGGGCAGGCAGCGTGAATTTGATGTATGACACCCCTATCCTGGAGAACAGGTTCCTCCTCTTTGGGAGCTGGGAGAGAGGAGGGGAAGGGCAGGTGGCTCGGTTAAGCAGTTTAACTGATGCCCCACCACAAACCTCTGAAGCTGCTCTCAGGATCCAGATCGCTCGCAATCCCTGTAGCTGCCCTGCCAGGCTGACTTGTGCACCAGGCTGGTGATAAATGCAGTTGACTACGGTGATTTGCAGCTGAACGATGTCCCAGAAACCCCTCACCACCTCCCTGGGCTCCTGTCATCTAATCATTCCGAAGACGTCCGATCCAGTGTCTTCTCAGCAATTCCCATGGACGCTTAGGACTTTGCGCTCTTGAGCTTCACCCAATGGCCTTCAGGACCTCACACTCAACTCCACTGCTCGCCTCCTCCCCTACTTCTGAGCTGATGGGAAGAGGCATTCATTTTCACGAGAGCACTGCCCATCAGAGCACAGGCACAACTGCCCCATCACAGAAGTGTGGGCCATCAGATTCAGGCATGTGACCACAGGGAAGCAGGGAGTGCCCGTGACAGAAAGGTGCTGCCTCCGTTCCCCAGAAAGGGAAGTGAAGGCGTTGTCTTTTCCAACACAGTCTTCTTTGTAACTCAAAGCTGGAAGCTTAACGTGAATCAATCCTGTTGCTAGTGGGTGCTCATAGCCCCTGGGAAATTCCACTTCTAGCATGGCAAGCTGGACTAATTTACCTATGGAGTGGGCCAGCATTTCTCAACTGTACAATATGAGGGGGCTTCAAAGAGTTCATGGGAGAAAGGGAATCGAAAGATAATGGAATTTTCCCACAAACTTTTTTGAAGCCGCACACATTTCATTGATAGGAGGCATAGGTTTCTACAATCATCATCCATTTCCACCTTGTGGCCATTGACGTAGTGGTTATGAGTTGGGCTGTGATCCTCAAGATCAGAAGTTCAAAACCAGCAGCTGCTCCAAGGGAGAAAGACGGGGCGTATCTTCTCCCATAAAGAGTTACCGTCTCAGAAACCCACAGGGCAGTTCTGCCCTGCCCTACAGGGTCACTGTGAGTCAGCATCTACAGGATAGCAGTGAGTGTGACTGTTTTGTCAAGGAACTGGACAGAGCCTATTTGGGAGCTCTTCCTGCCCCCTTGTGGTTGTTAATTATACCTTAAAATAATTTTTTTAAGGGAAGAGGGTCTAATTTTTTTTTGAGGGTCTAATTTTAAAAATTAACATAAACTGCATATATTAAAGCATCCTCGTGGCATAGCACACACATGTTGTTGGGCTCCTAAACACAAGGTCAGCATTTTGAAACCACCTCCTCTGTAGGCACAGGAAGCTTCTACTCCCATACAGAGTTACCATCTCAGAAACTCACAGTGGCAGTTCTGGCCTGTCCTATAGAGTCACTATGATTTGGCATTGACTCAGTGGCAGTGAGCGAGGACATATATTTAAAGTACAGTTTTATAGGTTTTCACATAGGAACCTACTACCTTATCCAAGAGAATGAGTGTCTCTATCACCTCCCCAAGTCCCTATGGGCCCCCCTTTCTATTCTCTCGCTCCCATCCCTTCCCAACCCAGGCATTGCTTATTGTTACTATAGATTTATTAGCAGTGGATAGAATTTTATACAAATAAGATCATACAAGGTCATCTTTTTCTTGGTCTGGCACCTTTACCTGGCACAATGATTGTGAGATTCACCAGTGCATGATTGGGTAAATCTAAAGTTCATTCATTCCTTTGGATTGTGGAATAGTAAGTAGGCAGGCCATTATCCAGACTTGAATTTTGTCCCCCCAAAAGGTAACATTGATGTTCTAGACCCTGAACCTGTGAAAGTGGCCTTCCTTAGGGAAATAGGACTTCCCCTCCGTATGCTATAAGTTAACAAAGTTAACCTGGAGTATGGATGGTCCTGATCCTGATGCCTCCTGAGTGGCATTTTATAAAAGAGAAGGACAGGTCCTGAACAGAAGACACAAACAGAGGGAAGAGGGTTGTGCTAGTCCAGGTAGACTAGAAAAACAAATCCAGAGAGATACTCATATGTGTATAAGAAAGAGCTTTATATACAAGAGCAACTGAATATTGAGAAAACATCCCAGTCCAGTCCAGATCAAATCCCTAAGTCTGAAACCAATCTATAAATTCCTCTTCAGACTCATGCAACACATGCAATGACACTGAATGCAAAGATCACAGGCCAGTGGGTGGAAAGTCTTGTGGATCCAGTGGCAGTGGAAGCATCTCAGCGCTGACAGGGGTCTCCACATGGCTCCTCTGGCTCTCTTGAGTTCTGGCTGCTTCAGCGTATCTCCATCAGTCTTGTCCTCAGGAATGTCTCACAGGGAGAGAGTATGTGTCCCACCTCCAATGAGCTTTTTATCTCCTTAGTGCCTCCAAATGAGATCAGGCTGCGACTTGATTGACAGGATAAAACTCCACCCTCAAAGTCTCAAATTGACAGCAGATTATGTAACTACCACAAGGATCCAGCTGAAGCCAAGGAACGCCCCCAAAACACCGAGGCCACAGAACCAGAGGAGACAAAGAAGGATCTGCTAGGTCCAACACTACCGTGAATTCAGACGTCCAGCTTCTGACTGGGGAAAAGGTCATTTCTGTTCCTCAAAGTCCCCACTTTGTACTGTTTTCTTACGGCAGCCCTAGGAAACGAAGACAGACACTGTGTACATGTGTGGTGGCATTACCCACTCACTTGTTCCTGTATATTTACATTATTTCCAGATCTTGTCTACTACAAATCAAGCTGCTATGAACACTTGTATAGGGGTCTTGGTATCCTGGACATAAGCTTTTGTTTCACTCAGATACATCGAGGGAGGCAGGGGCTAGGTTTTATGGTAAATATACCCCTAATATTAAAAAAAAAAAATTGCCGCACCACTTGGCCAGGTGGCTATGTCACTTACATGCCCCCTAGCAATCCAGGAGAGCTCCAGTTGTTCTGTGTCTTTGCCAACACTTGGTATCAGAATGTGCCATATTAGACATGCTCACAGGGGGTAGTGGCCATCTCTTTTTAACTTTACATTTCCTTAAAGATTGCTGATAAGCAT